TAGAAACCAATCAGCTTCCAGGTTTTATTGTCAAAGCTTAATAGATCTTAGAAGCCGATTGGCTGCGATGCACAGCGGCACCAGATTCTGAGCGCTCCAGTTTTAGTAAATCCCCCTCCATGCGTTTTCATGTGTGATTGGGGTATCATTAGGAATTAGTGCCTGAACAAGGGATACACTTTTTTTTTGTGTGTATTGCGGGAAGAAGTGCGATTTTGTGTGCGTTCCGCATTGCAAAAATGTGAAGCTAGCCTTAAGGGTTACATCTACAAGCGGCAGGGTGGTCCCAGGCAGATGCAACATTGCCCGGCACACGCTGCACTCCTCCTGTACTATTCCCACATTGCATCAAGCAAACAAACATTCTGCAATCCCTTCCCTGTGCATCTTGGCGGGGAATCCCCCCAGTTACTGGATTCCGACTTTGCCCCTTTGAGGGTGTCAAGTCATAAAGTCTGACCTTTCCAGCTGGGAAATTCCCCTATTGACAAATGATGGAGCGCCCACCATTCCCAGCAGGGGGCACAAGAAGAAAAAAAAAAAATTAAAAAAAAAAAAAAAAAAAAAAAAAAGACAGTGCTACAAAATTTACTGGAATTCACCAAAAAAAAAAGGAGCAAAAATAAAAAATAAAAAAACTGAAAAAAAAAAAGGTAAAGATTACAGGTTTCAAGCCCTCCCCTGACTCCCAGCACCACAATAAATAGGAGGACAGAGCCGGAGGAGGACATCTTCAGAGACAGGCACGGAGGACACATCTCCCGACTAGGTGAGCGTCTCCCATCACTATACTGACTACATCCCTGTATTTACTAACACGTCTGATGCTTTTCTCTGTAATCGCAGCAAAAAGAGTTTTTGTTACTTCAGTTTTATGTACTTCTGCACATCTAAGAATGCAGTTTACATGAATTTCAATACATTGCCATCAGCTGTACTTGAGAAACTGTACAAAGCAGATGACTGAACAATTCAGAAAAGTGTTACGATGTATAGATATCCACAACTTTGTTTATTTTTATTTTACTTTATTTTATGTTTTGTTTTTTTTTGGAGGGGTGGGGATAAAATCCTCCACCAGATCCACCATCTGGGACCAGCACTGCGACCAAGGCGTGGATGTTGACATGTCCCAACACCCCCCCCCCCCCCCCCCAAATCTCTGAGCTTTTTAACCACTTCAAGTCCAGACACTTTCACCCCCTTCCTGTCTGGGCCAATTTTCAGCCTTCAGCGCTATCACACTTTGAATGACAATTGCGCGGTCATGCAACACTGTACCCATATGAATTTTTTTTGAGGCAGATAAAACTTTATTTTGGTGGTATTTATTCACCACTGGGATTTTAATTTTTTTGCAATATAAGTAATAAAAGTCCAAAAATTTTGGAAACAAAAAAAAAAAAGTGTTTTTCTTATAAAATTTAGCAAATAAATAATCTTTCTTAATAAATCTTAGACAAAATGTATTCGGTTATCTTTTTAGTAAAAAAAAAAACAAAAAAAAACCCAAATTAGTTTATAACCAAAAATTATAATTTTTCAAAAAATGTTTTTACATTTTTATTTTTTTTTTTAATATTATTTATGTTTTGTTTTTTACATACTGTCACCCTAGCAGTAGTGTGACCATAGTGACACTGTACTACTTGTGGGGGGTGATGAAGACTTTTTTTTTTTTTTTTTTTTTACACTGATTGCTTTTACACCCATAAAGGCTGGGAGAAGTCCTGGAGATGAGCATGGGAGGAGGTGACACGGGAACTAGAGACCAGAAGGTCTTGGGGAACAACTTCCCACCGACGTCCGCGGGGAACAACTTCCCACCGACGTCCGCGGGGGAACAACTTCCCACCGACGTCCGCGGGGAACAACTTCCCACCGACGTCCGCGGGGAACAACTTCCCACCGACGTCCGCGGGGAACAACTTCCCACCGACGTCCGCGGGGAACAACTTCCCACCGACGTCCGCGGGGAACAACTTCCCACCGACGTCCGCGGGGAACAACTTCCCACCGACGTCCGCGGGGAACAACTTCCCACCGACGTCCGCGGGGAACAACTTCCCACTGATGTGTACGGGGAACAACTTCCACTGATGTCCACGGGGAACAACTTCCCACTGAAGTCCACAGGGAGCAATTTCCCACTGAAGTCTATGGGAGGCAGTGTGTGAACACAAGAGCCAATACACAATTTCTGGAGATTTGTCCAGCCCTGTTTTAGGAGATATGCAGATTTCAGCAAGTATAGCAACTGTTTACTTAGGAGCCAGTGATTAGCTTTCATATAAAAGCGATCCAGGCAGTGGTGATCATTTTTAAACATCCCGCTCTCAGGTCTGGACAACATACGGACCTGGCAGTGAAAGGGTTAAATAAAATAAATTTGGGGGGGAATGTAAAGCACCCCAGTTCCTCTGTGCTCAAGCAAAAATGCAAACACGCATGCATATGTAAACGGTGAGTGCACCACATGTGTGGTATCCCTGCGAACATCCGAGAAAGAGCAACACTTCCAGCATCAGAGCTCAAGTTGAAATCTAAAGGCGTTTAAAGGGTCACCTATGGACAGCTTTAGGTACCGTAGCGTTCACCATTCCACAGGAGCGAGCAATTTTACATCTGGACAGACTTGGTATTTACGAGACGCATCATCATTTTTTATATTATACCAAAAAGGTGGGTATTATATTGTGTCTGTGTGAAGTAAAATTCATTTAAGTGCATTTCTTCTGAGAATATACTTGTGATAAACAGAAGTGCAAATATTGTGTGACATTAAGAAACTGCAACAGCCACCATTTCATTCTCCAGGGTCTCTGCTTTCAGAAAATAAATCATACTTGAGGGTTCTAAGCAGGGTGAATAAAAATCAATGATTTTTTAAAAAAAAATTTATTTTTTTTATTTAAATCGGATTTGTTTTATTTAAATCGGATTTTTTAAAATAAAATGCTTTTTTGAGGAAAATAGATTACCATCCAAAGGTTATTCCATCATGAAATAAAGATTAGGTTTTTAATTATGTAGAATAAGGCTGTATATGTTTAATTTTTTTGGTAAATAAATTCCATGAATCCATTCACAATGTCATGCTCTTCCAGAGGTTTTTGTAAGATTATTGGGCAGTTTCTCTGCCTACAAGATATTATCACAGATGTTCGGTTTACTTTTGCAGTTCTCAAAACTGAATTTGACTCAGCGGAGATCACATGCCTCTTCTTCACAGCAAAAATGTTATAACATGAACAGAGTTAACCACTTCCAGACCGGACACTTTTACCCCCTTCCTGACCAGGGCAATTTTCAGCTTTTAGCGCTATCACACTTTGAATGACAATTGCGCGGTCATGCAACACTGTACCCAAATGAATTTTTTACCATTTTTTTAAGATAGATAAAGCTTTATTTTGGTGGTATTTATTCACCACTGGGATTTGTATTTTTTTTGCTATGTAAATGAAATGCCCAAAAAATTTGAAAAAAAGTGTTTTTTTTTATAAAATTTTGCAAATAAATAATATTTCATCATAAATCTTAGCCAAAATTTATTCCGTTATCTTTTTAGTAAAAAAAAAAAAAATCCAAATTAGTTTATAAGCAAAAATTATAATTTTTAAACTTTTTTTTTTACATTTTTATATTATTTTTTTTTTTTTTTTTTTTTTTTTTTTTTTTTTTTACATACTGTCACCCTAGCAGTACAGTGTCACATGGTGACACTGTACTACTTGTGAGGGGTGATGAAGATTTTTTTTTTTTTTTTTTTTTTACACTGATTGCTTTTACACCCATATAGGATGTAAAAGCAATCATTTCTCTTTCTCTCTGTGTGCATTCTTGCACTCATTAAGAACTGAGTGAGCTGTGATTGGTCACAGCTTGTCACATGGTACAAGGCTGTTGTGAATAGCCTTGTACCATGTGACCTCCGTGATCATTCACAGATTTCACACATAGTAAGCAATGATGTCAGAAGTGACATCTTGCTTACTACTATTCATGTGATCACTGATTGGCCAATCAGTGATCACATGATCGGGACCTCGTATAGAGGTCCCGTCCGACGATCGGTGTTTCACTGTGTCCGGAGGACACAGCGGGCAGTGGATCGCGGTGCTGCGCGCTCCCAGGGAGCACGCACAAGCAGGGTGCGGGGAGGCCGTTTATAGACGGCCACCCGACCCTGCAGTGCCACCGTCCGGCCGTTTATATGCAACGGCCGGGTCGGGAAGTGGTTAAGAAAAAGACCTTCATCCTAACTTCTACAAACCTATGAATACAGAATCAACCCCTTCAGTGCTAAGTTTCAAGAAGTTCAGTGAATAGAATAGAAACAATATTTTTCTGATTGTTTGGAGTGGAATAGATCTGCACAAGAAGAAAGTGAAGCTAAGTGTGAGGGGGAGGGGCTGACAGTGTGAGGAGGAAGGGGCTGACAGTCTAAGTTTCCTAAAATATATATATTTTGTTTAGCCAAATTAGTTAACAAACATGGATGTTTAAGCAAATCACATATGCTGGAATGTTATTGTTTCAGATGAATAAATCTATTTAAATTGTTATTATTAAGGTAATGATTATTTTTCTCCTTCCGAAGTACAACAGAAAAGTTGTCCAAATATAAATGATTAACCTATTAAACTGGGGATAAAAAAAAACGAATATGAAAAGTTATTATTCTAAAAATCTTCATCTACTTGTATATTAAAGTTATACCAGCAAGAATTAGTCTTTACGTAGAAAACTGGGATTTACATCAAGCCTTACTGACTAGTGATTTAAATCGGGATTTAAATCAAATCCACCCTGGTTCTAAGCAATTTTCTTGCAAAAAAAAAAAAAAAATGTAACATCTGTGTGACAAATGTAAAAATTGCAAGTGGTTAATAAACCCGAGTCACTGGTTTTGCCTGGACCTCCACTTTAACTGAATGCTAAATGACTTTTTCCTTTTATCTGTCGCTCTGCAGGTTGAAGAATCTCTTGGAATCGTAATGAAGGCTTCGATCATCCTGTTGCTAATTGGTCTGGCTGTAGCTCAGGCGCAGTTTCAATGGATGCGCGACTCCGGAAAATTTGTAAAAGATGCCGCCCTCGGTAAGAGTTCATTCTCATTGTACAGATCATCTATAGCAGTGGTCTCCAAACTGCTGCCAGGGGGCCAGAAGTGGCCGTTTGCTTGCCCTTATCTGGCCCTTGGGGTGCTAACCTGGCAGTACTAGGGTCGTTGGTTTGAATCCCAACCCCGGCACCACCTGCCTGGAGTTTGCATGTTCTCCCCTGTGCCTGCGTGGGTTTCCTCCCACACTCCAAAGACATGCTGGTAGGTGAATTGGCTCCTGTCTAAATTGTCCCTAGTATGTGTATGTATGAATGTGAGTTAGGGACCTTAGATTGTACGCCCCTTGAGGGTTAGGGACTGATGTGAATGTACAATATATATGTAAAGTGCTGCGTACATTGATGGCGCTATATAAGTACCTGAAATTTAAAAAAAAAAAAAAAAAAATATATATATATATATATATATATATATATATATATGGGCAGCACAGTGGCTAAATGGTCAGCACTTCCCCCTGGCAGTACTCGGGTCGCTGGTTTGAATCCCAGCCTCCTGCCTGGTTTTTGCATGTTCTCCCTGTGCCTGCGTGGGTATCCTCCTTGTAATCTGGTTTCCTCCCACACTCCAAAGACATGCTGGTAGGTGAATTGGCTCCTGTCTAAATTGTCCCTAGTATGTGTATGTATGGATATGAGTTAGGGACCTTAGATTGTACGCCCCTTGAGGGTTAGGGACTGATGTGAATGTACAATATATATGTAAAGCGCGGAGTACATTGACTGCGCTATACAAGTACCTGAAATAAATAAATATTACACCAGTGATGAAGCACCATGTCCCCTACTGACGCCCTCATTTTCTACTCCCAGCGGAGTACCCGGAGGAAACCCACGCAGACACAGGGAGAACATGCAAACTCCAGGCAGGTGGTGCCATGGTTGGGATTTGAACCAACGACCCGAGTACTGCCAGGTGGAAGTGCTAACCATCTAGCCGCTGTGCTGTCCCATGTTTTCATTCCATACCTTATTTTAGACCCCATGATGTCAGCACTTGGTCTTTGTGCTTCCCAATGCAAAGCAGGCAGATCATGCCTGATGGGAGGGGCCTGGCAGGGTGTCATCACTTGGTCTTTGTGCTTCCCAATGCAAAGCAGGCAGATCATGCCTGATGGGAGGGGCCTGGCAGGGTGTCATCACTGGATCTTTGTACTTTTCTATGCAAAGCAGGCAGATCATGCCTGATGGGAGGGGCCTGGCAGGGTGTCATCACTGGGTCTTTGTGCTTCTCTATGCAAAGCAGGCAGATCATGCCTGATGGGAGGGGGAGGGCCTGGCAGGGTGTCATCACTGGGTCTTTATGCTTCTCTATGCAATGCAGGCAGATCATGCCTGATGGGAGGGGTCTGGCAGGGTGCAGTACGTCTTCCTGAAAACATCACAGCACCCTACCTATATACTCCTCTCAGGAGCCCCCCAGCCCTGATCCAAGCAGTATATATAACATTCTGTACCTCCTGTGTGTTTCAGGGTCCCGTGACATGGCCAGAGCCTACATGGATATGAGAGAAGCCAACTTCAAAAATGCAGACAAGTATTTCCACGCTCGGGGGAACTATGACGCTGCACAGCGAGGACCCGGGGGGGCTTGGGCTGCCAGGGTGTTAAGGTAAGAGCCACAGCAACCAATGACTGTTACTGGAGGCCGAGGAGAGGCTGACAACCGCTGACAACCGAGTCCTTCACAGGAAGGAGAGGGGAGGCCGAGGAGAGGATGACAACCGAGTCCTTCACAGGAAGGAGAGGGGAGGCCGAGGAGAGGATGACAACCGAGTCCTTCACAGGAAGGAGAGGGGAGGCCGAGGAGAGGCTGACAGCCGAGTCCTTCACAGGAAGGAGAGGGGAGGCCGAGGAGAGGCTGACAGCCGAGTCCTTCACAGGAAGGAGAGGGGAGGCCGAGGAGAGGCTGACAGCCGAGTCCTTCACAGGAAGGAGAGGGGAGGCCGAGGAGAGGCTGACAACCAAATCCTTCACAGGAAGGAGAGGGGAGGCTGACAGCCGAGTCCATCACAGGAAGGAGAGGGGAGGCCGAGGAGAGGATGACAGCCGAGTCCTTCACAGGAAGGAGAGGGGAGGCCGAGGAGAGGCTGACAGCCGAGTCCTTCACAGGAAGGAGAGGGGAGGCCGAGGAGAGGATGACAGCCGAGTCCTTCAAAGGAAGGAGAGGGGAGGCCGAGGAGAGGCTGACAGCCGAGTCCTTCCTTCACAGGAAGGAGAGGGGAGGCCGAGGAGAGGATGACAGCCGAGTCCTTCACAGGAAGGAGAGGGGAGGCCGAGGAGAGGATGACAGTCGGTGATCTGATGTTTATTGATTAACCCCCCGAGTGCTGACTCTGGTCTCCATTTTTCTCTAGTGACGGCAGAGAAGCGGTCCAGATGAGAGGCAGCGGCAGAGGAGCCGAGGACAGCCGGCTGGACCAGGAGGCCAATCGCTGGGGGAGGAACGGAGGCGACCCCAACCGCTACAGACCTGCAGGACTGCCCAGCAAATACTAAGCCCCGCCTTCCGGTCACCTGACATTACAACCACCAACGAATCAATGAATGTTACATTGTACAAATGTCATCCGGAATTCCAGAAACATTTCATATCAGCAGATAAATAATAAACCTTTACATATCATTCCTGCCAGATCTTCGGTCTCATTACTTATTCCAGGCCAGGGGCGGACTGACAACTCATGGGGCCCCCGGGCAATAGGGGATCATGGGGCCCCTGTGTCTTTGCCCAAACTCAAAAAAGCCTATGAAAAAGGTACCAGGGGCATCTCAAGGGGCCCCCTACTGACCCCGGCCCTCGGGCAGTGCCCGAGTTTCCAAATGGTCAGTCCGCCCCTGGCTCACACCATCACATGACAAATCAAGCATGTCACCTGACAGTGAAGTCACATGATTTCAAGTTTGGGTTGGTGTGACCGGGGCGTAAAGTGGCACTAAAGCCACAACAGTACAATCAGTCTGTAGATGCAGTAAAGCATGCTGGTTATACTCGCTGTGGAACCTAAGGGATTAATCCTCTGCATTGTGTAAAAATGCGGTTTGATCCTGTCTTCTCTGATCCTCCCCTTCTACTGTCCATAATCCATTTGCTGATAGTACAGAGCTCTAGGAGGCACTCTGCACGTGCTCAGTTTAGTGTGCATTGCTAGAAAGGTTTTTCTTTTTTGGGGGGGGGGGGGAAATGCATGTGATTAGCACAGGGTCAATCAGCACTGGTCAGACAGAAGTCAGGGGTTCTGCATGCTCCTAGAGCAGAAAGAAAACTCATCCTAAAAGCTTTAACCAGCAGTGAGCGCGGGGTCCGGGGAGAGCGGACACAGTGAGCGCGGGGTCCGGGGAGAGCGGACACAGTGAGCGCGGGGTCCGGGGAGAGCGGACACAGTGAGCGCGGGGGTCCGGGGAGAGCGGACACAGTGAGCGCGGGGTCCGGGGAGAGCGGACACAGTGAGCGCGGGGTCCGGGGAGAGCGGACACAGTGAGCGCGGGGTCCGGGGAGAGCGGACACAGTGAGCGCGGGGTCCGGGGAGAGCGGACACAGTGAGCGCGGGGTCCGGGGAGAGCGGACACAGTGGTCGCGGGGAGAGCGGACACAGTGAGCGCGGGGTCCGGGGAGAGCGGACACAGTGAGCGCGGGGTCCGGGGAGAGCGGACACAGTGAGCGAAGGGTCCGGGGAGAGCGGATATAGTGAATGCGTTTTATCCGCACATTTTTCACACATGTATCTAATTCGTTTTTGATGCATTTTTTTTTTTTATTGGGGGGGGGGGGGAGGGAGGTGTCTGTTGTCTTACGGGAGAAACCAGCAAAAAACGCAGCGAAAACACATCAAAACCACAAGCTCTGCGTTTTGATGCGTTTCTATCAACACTGCCCCTAGCTACATCACCAACCTCATCCACAGATACCGCCCGAATCGCCCGCTCCGCTCCTCCCATGATATCCTCCTCTCTAGCTCCCTCATGACCTCTCCCACGCTCGCCTCCAGGACTTCTCCAGAGCCTCTCCCATCCTCTGGAACGCCCTACCACAGTATGTCCGATCAGCCCCCACCCTGTCTGCCTTTGGGTGATCTTTGAAAACTCACTTCTTCAGGGAAGCCTCCCCCACCTCCACCTAAGAACTGTACTTGAATCACCTCCACCAGATCATCCCCCGCAGCTATCACCTTTTATATCCCCTTCCTTTAGATTGTCAGCTCCAGGATCAAGGCCCTCCTATTCCTTCTGTACTGAAATGTATTGTAATTGTACTGTCTCCCTTATATTGTACAGCGCTGCGCAAACTGTTGGCGCGATATAAATCCTGTATAATAATAATAGTCTATGGAACCAAAAAAAATGCAAAAAAATGGGAAAAAGGCATTTGACCCTTTTCAAAAAAAAAAGAAAAAAGGCACAGATGTAAAGCACAGAGATGTAAACGTGACCTGTAGGTAACCATGGTAACTGGACTGTAGTGCGTTTCTGCACAACTGAAAAAAAAAAAGTTCTATAGACTTCAAAGGAAAGGCACATTATAAAAAATAAAAAAAACACGGTGCTTGCATTTTTGCTGCTTTCTCCTGCAAGAGAACAGACCCCTCCCCAAAAAAACGCAGAATGCATCAAAAAGGCATTGACCCTAGGATCACATCTGTGCAGGTGGTGCCGCTGCGGATCCACATGAAAATCCGTGCAGCCGCCCCACTCGCACAGAGAACTGCGGACCCGCGGACGGGTGATATTAGTTCTAATGACACGCCGCCCGCACTGGAAAGTGCAACCGTACTATGAACCTCGGCTGCGTTTTGAGAAGAAGTGCTGGGACTGCTTCTCTGCGTGTCACGGGAGTCCATTCAAATGAATTGGCTCTTGTACCCGCGCAATACGCAGCCCGCATAGATGTGAATCTAAACTGTGTCAAAAACACATGTGAAAAAAAAAAAACCCACAAAACGCATCAGGCGTGAACCGGGCCTAAAAGACGACTTTATTTATTCTTGGGATACAACAGGAAGAGGTATAAACCTCCCCTCCCCCCTTCTGGGAAGATTTCCCACCACTTCCTGTCCTGTAAACACAACAGGAAGTGGGAGGAAGTCTCTCCCCGGCCACACACGATGCAATCGGATTGTATAATCTCATGTGAGGACAAAGCTAAACTCTGCGCTCGGTTATAGTCCAATCAGGCGTGGCCCGGAGCTACGCAGCGGATGGCAGATCTGGAGGGGGTCGGACAATCAGATTGTACGGTGTGTGGGGGGGCAGAGACTGTCATTACTGCCACCTGTGTCCCCAACGATAGATTTCCCCTCTCTTCCTGCTCTGGTGACAACGCAGAATGTTTTCCCGTTGTTTCTATGTCAGTGACACAGAGAAGTGAATGTCCCCTATGGGGACACAGCGAGCAGGAGGTTGGCGGTCTGGTCATACAGTCACACAGCGGTCGGTGTCCAGGGCGCTCTCTCCGGTTTGAATTTCCCTCCTCACGTCTCCCTTCACTCACCCATCACTCCGATCTCCCGGCTCTGACGTCACTTCTACGTCCCCTCCCCTCGCTCACATGACCTGAGGAGGCGGGCTCTGCGCGTCACATGGCCTGCGAAAGGGGTCGTAACGCATCACATGACCTGTGGAGGTGGGCGTTGCGTGTCACATGGCCTGGGGAAGCAGTCGTAGCGCGTCACATGACCTGCGGAGTTTGGCGTCGCGCGTCACATGACCTGCGGAGGTTGGCGTCGCGCATCACATGACCTGCGGAGGTTGGCGTCGCGCATCACATGACCTGAGGAGGCGGACGCTGCGCGGCTCACGACCCTTAATATTGTATGGGAGCCGGAGAGGACAAAACTCATCCACAACTAGACTGCACGGCTCCGCCCATTTCCCTTTTCACATTGTAACAAAGTCACACCTGAGAGCTTGTAGATCTCCTCGATCCCTTCTTCCCTCATTCATTATCATGGACCCCAGACTAAAAGAGGGAAAAAGCATGCGTGCGTGTATATGTGTATATATATATCATAGTAAATGATCAATAGGTATTGTAAACATTCAAAGCATTTCCAACAGAGGAGAATGAAGATGAAGGCATTTATTACAGTATAAAGGGAGAAGGAAGGATTACAGACAGTCCTATTAAAGTAAAAAGGTAATCAGTGTCCCGGGGTGAGAGGAGGTTCCTTCAGTTCCTGTCCCCATTAGTGCAGGGGTGGTTGTTGGGGCACAGGGCAAGGCAAATAATCTGTGCCCTCTAATGAGAAAGAAAGAAAAAAAGAAAGGAGAAAAAGAAAGAAAGAAAAAAAAGAAAGGAGAAAAAGAAAGAAAGAAAAAAAAGAAAGGAGAAAAAGAAAGAAAAAGAAAAAAAGAAAGGAGAAAAAGAAAGAAAGAAAAAAAGAAAGGAGAAAAAGAAAGAAAGAAAAAAAAAGAAAGGAGAAAAAGAAAGAAAGAAAAAAAGAAAGGAGAAAAAGAAAGAAAGAAAAAAAGAAAGGAGAAAAAAGAAAGAAAGAAAAAAAGAAAGGAGAAAAAGAAAGAAAAAAAGAAAGGAGAAAAAGAAAGAAAGAAAAAAAGAAAGGAGAAAAAGAAAGAAAAGAAAAAAAAAGAAAGGAGAAAAAGAAAGAAAGAAAAAAAGAAAGAAGGAGAAAAAGAAAGAAAAAAAGAAAGAGAGAAAGAAAGAAAAACGAAAGAAGGAAAAGAAAAAAAAAAAGAAAGGAGAAAGAAGAGAAAGAAAGAAAAAAGAAAGGAGAAAAAAGAAAAAGCGAAAGAAGAAGGAAAAGCAAAAAGAGAAAGAAAAAGAAAAAAGAGAGAAGAGAAAAGAGAGAAAGAGAAAGAAAAAAGAGAGAAGAGAAAGAAAGAAAAAAAAAGAGTAAAAAGAAAGAAAGAAAGAAAAGATGGACTAAAAAGGAGAAAGAGTGAAAGATTAAAACAGAGATAAAGGGTAAAAGGGAGAAAGAGAAATAGAAAGAATAATATGGAGATAGAAAGATAGAGAAAGAGAAAACAAGATAGAGTTAAAGTTAAAATGGAGAAAAGGAGAAAAGGAGACAGATATTAAAATGAGAAAGAGGGGAAAAAAAAAAGAGAAATGGAGAAAGAAAATGAGAAAAACATAAGAAGACAGAAAGATTAAAAGGGAGAAAAAGAGATAGAGAAAAATAGAATGAGAAAAAGAGAAACCAGTGATCCGATCCCCCGCACACCGCCCGATGTTCTGGCCAGGATCAGACTGGTGGGGTGTCTTGTGTTTGTAGAAATGTGGCACCAAACATGAAAGTAACCTCCACCATGCTTCACAGTTGATGCAGATACTCATTATTGTGCCGCTCTCCAGTCCTTTACCAACAAACTACCTCCTGCTGCAGCCATATATTTCACACTTTGACTCATCAGTCCAGAACACCTGCTGTCATCCTTCTACACCCCAGTTCCATGTTTTCCTGCAAAGTATAGTTGCTTCGCCTCGTTTCCATGTCGGAGGTATGGTGTTTTAACTGCAATTCTTCCATGAAGACCACTTC